CATGATGGTATGAAACCCTAACCAGGAGACTAGGTCACATAGGCCCCGTTAAGCTCCCTGGCTGGGGACCTCGGGATGATGATCACCGATGGTTAGAGACATTGGGGGATATGGCTGAGTGTCGCAAACGGTGACGGTCGTACATCCACTCATTATTCTCCTATCACTATTTTGTGTGAATTCTCCATCCTTGAATTCGCTTTCAAGATCCCAATCTTCATTCTGCTCTTTCATTCAAATGGACAACCAAAGACAGCAACCAAAACCGGCGCACGAAAGTGCATGGTTAATGGTTGTAAAAACTGAAACTGAAACTGAGGAGTCTGGGTCACATAGGTCCCATTAGGCTCCTTGGATGGGGACCTCTGGATGATCGCATCCGATGGTTGGAGACATTGAGTGATATGGCTGATTGTCTTAAGCAGTGGCGTTCGTGCACTTCAATTTCCCTATAACATTAGTCTACTGAAATTCTAAATTTTCTCTTTTATCCTGCTTTCAATATTTTCTGTCTTTTTTATGTTCATCCAAATGGGCAGACAAGGGACAGCAACCGGTGCATGAAATTGCATGTTTAATGGTTGTACAAACTGATACATAGCTATGGGAGGTATCACTGTCTATTATTGCTTGAATTTTAACACCATTAACAAAGCGATGATAGTGGCATAGGACAAACAAGTGAGAGCGGCAACGGTAAAGGTGGGGAACAATAGAAGACTAAGGGTGGATGTATTCGATGGATACTTTGTTTTGGATTTACACTCGTTTGATGTGTCCGTTTCTCCACCGGCTTTTCAGACGGTCTACCTAGCGGGGCACTTGGTATGTGGGTGTTCTGAACAGCCGCAAGAATAATACACCTGTTTGCAAGCCGCTGATTAAACGGGTTCAGGTTGTCGACGGAAGTAGATTGGTTGACGCACATGGAACGCCCTGTCCTTCATATGACCGCAACTGCTTTTGGGCAATTTCAAGGGACCTTGCCATAGCGTATGCATACCGGAAGATTAGTGGTAGTTGTTCCAGCAGTCTAGCACGAATGACATGAGTCGAGTCCGGTTATGGATGCGTCATGCATAGCATCGTCGCAGTATTTTCCGGCTGAGACGAACCAGAAAAAATGTTTTGCGCAAACTGGTCTGTGTTTTGCCCAGTATCTTATTTACAAATAGAAGGTAGGTACCGTTCAAACTCAAAGTTTTTTAGGTGAACGTACAGAGATTCAAGGAGAGAGATGGCGTTGTTAAATGCCTTACACTCAGAGATGTGTTCATAGACAGAAGGTGTCAAGAAGGTAATGAGTAGATCTAGTTTGTCCGTCATCGGATTGCAATCCTTTTAAGAAGGCTTTGGAGGGCGTATCCCGTAGGTCTAGTGTTTTGATGCGTATGGGGCGTTCAGATCAACGGTGGATTTGTCGGGTCGAAGGTAACGGTTCATTATTAGTTGAGTAAGTTGTAATGTTTTACGAATCAAACAAAGGGGTGCGGAACGGAAAAGACTCGGAGTCAGAGTTGTAGGCTTTATTCAACTAATAAATGCGGTACGAGTTGTAGTAAAGGAAGAACTTTATGTAACATGCTATACAGAAGGATGTATAAATGAGAGAACTAGAATATGACACGATACAAACTACACTGGACTGGTTTTGTTCATTTTTTATACCAACCAGGTGAATAACCGAAAAACAGCGACCGAACTCGAAGCACAAATAAGCTGGGTTATACGTTGCACAAACTAAAATTGTATGTTCAACACACAGTGAACTGCCCCAGTGTTAACAAAATGTTATCATTTTCACTCCGTTTTGAATGTCCAAAATTCGTTTCTTTTGAATTTACATGGGTGATCAGCCAGAAGTCATTGAGAACTTTAGGTACTTCGGAGGCTTGATCGCAGCTTGAAGTGAGGAAGAGAGATCACGGCACGAATAGCGAAAGCTAGAGCAGCTTGCCTCACCTTTGGCACCGCCATGAGATCCGACTATCCCTTAAGAAGATGAACAACGTCATTCAGAAGCGACGCACGAAAGTGCATGCTTAATGAATGTTCAAGCTGAGTACAACACCGTGGTTCGTAGTGTTCCGTACGTTTGCCAGACCTGGTCCCTGCGCGTTGAGAATGCCACTCAACTTTCTGTATTCGGTCAGCGATATCTCCGAAGCATTTCTCGTGTCTAATGGGAACATCGGATGAGTGGTGACGAAGGTTTTCGTTGTGTGTTGGGTGTGGATACTCGATCTCTACCTTTCCGTGTTCTTTTTGTACTTGCTGGACAAGGCTGGAAAAAGCGCCACGATGGTCAGATCATGAAATGGCGTAGCGGTATGAAGGAGCTAGTTTCAGCTTTGGCTTCGATTGGTGCAACCCGCCTCCCAGGTTGGGGCCCAAGGGACGAGGGTTATCGTTTGTTAGAGACAATGATAGATAAAGACGTCGGTAGCGCTAATGCTGTTCGATTTACCTGTTGAAATCCCGTGTTCCGTGAAGAAAAAGTCATTAAGGAAAAATCAAAAGATGTACAATGAAACAAACAAAATGTTATTCTTGTTATCCGCTACAACCTTTGAGTCCCATCTTACTTCTTTGTATCCCAATCCCTTCGTTCTTTGTCATTCTCGCTGTTGCATAGCTGTCATGCCTGCTCGCAGGCCGATGATATATAAACATATGTATTGGTTTAGCAATGAAACCGCGACCAACATATCCAATTTCAGATCCATATGTTGTAATCATTCGTTTCGGAAAACCACAATGCATCCCCGTTACAAATTTCGTCATATAAAATCGATAGACTTCAAGGAGGTAACCAAAACGGCTGAAAAATTTCGATCANTAAAATTTTGGCACTGTCAAAGGCCAGAGAACAAATGAAGAATACGCAAAATATGACCCATTTCGTGTGCATCTGGAAAGAAGAACAACATGCATTGAATACAGAAGAGCATGAGGCCAGGTCCCAACTGAAAGATCCATCATATAAATGGATTTATGAAGAACCTAGCGTAAAACAATTGTCTGACCGAATTGCAGAGTATGAGGAAGAATTTCAGTGCATAGCCATCAAACCGCTTCGGACCTTGAGGTATTCGTTACGTTCTCAATCACAAACTTACCCTTTCCTTATCGTGTATTTCATTTTTTAGAGACGATCTCAAACACTGGATCCGGAATAAGAAAGAATCGTTGCACATTCAACCACCGGGTCCCATCAAATCAGTTATCACTGAAATGACTACGTCGCTGAACCGAGTTCAAACCAGCTTGAGACTAGAAGAGGGTGAATGTCTGAAAGATGGTTGTTTTGATCATTCGGCGGAGATTCAAGTACGAAACAATTCAGGAACATTGAAATCATCGGGATCAAGCGAAGACGGTGATGAACTCTGTTCGCGTGAAATGGGTATTCCGGATGAAGCTTGGGATTGGGCATCACCGTCAGCAGGATTCCTCACAGAATTGTTGTCCGAGTTTATCCGATTGGATGCAGTGTACTATGAACGGCTGGAAGCTGCTCAAGGTGCATACGACGAAGTCCGATTGTCCAAGTGGGTCGTTTTGCAATTAATGCAAGCTTTTCCTCAAAAGAATTATCTAAATGTAGTAGTAGGATATGTAGTAGGATGCAGCTGAGGTTTATTTTTTAATCAGCCTTCTTTTAGGAGTTTTCTTTTCATTGATTCAAACATGTGCTGTCTCTCCGAACATTTTGCCTTGTAGTGAAGACAACTGGACTGAAGAAGAATTGAGACAAATCCATTATTTCTCGGAAGTATTCAAAAAGCATTCCAGTACAAATCGGAGGAAGTTATGCATTTTATTTCTGTGCCTTATTTTAAAGGATCGTAAACCGTCCGAAGTGGTAAGTTCTGAAACATGCGGTGCTTGATTATACCACCATTGTACAGCGTAATACGGTGAAGCGAAATTCGCTGATCGCTGCCAAACTCGTAGTGCATACAAGGTGAGTGAGAATATGTAAAGAGGATAGAGATTGGGTCTATTTTTAGGGACAGTCACATTGTGCATACACACGTCAAGCATTCGGGACTGCTAAGAAGTGACAGCAAGATCGCCACTTCTGTCGGTTTACTGCCATGACGTTCAGTGTCTCCAACCATCCAGTTACGGAGTCTTTTGGACCCCAACCCGGAAGACGAGAAACATCTACTCTACCTAATCGCTCTGTGCATTTCTTTATGCCTCCTCTCCCAGTCATCTGCTGACCTCCATGTGGCTCACCCTAATCTGTAGCAACCACTACCAATACGGCACGGCGCTGTAGACGACCGTTAGACATACGCAATACGTGTCTTAACCAACGGAGCCTACTGAGCTGAATTCGATGCGATAACAAACTCGTGTTCGATGCATTCCCTAACACCCGACGACTTACCTATAGATTACTAACCCGTTCACTCCATCCCAATTGGGTCAGACTACGTAAGCATCGATTGTCGAAAACCACTAGGCAACGGATGTCTTCTACCCTCAAACTAAAGGTCTCACAACCTTAAAGCAGAACTGATCGTACAGTGGCGCAGTATGCGTGACATTTCAACATCAGTGAAACATCACTTCATCACCACGGATTTTCAAGTCTTGTGTACGCTGCACGAGCGGTTATCTCCTTTGATGCGCTACCGTCGTTGGTCACGCAGCTACCCAGGTACGGGAAACAATCAACTTCAGCTGATTCCTGATCCTCTAGTTTCAGAACGGAACTCGGCGACACCCAGCCTTGCCGCATCACTTTGTATTGCGAAGATTCGAAGCGCAACAGAACTTGATAGCATATCAGGGGCGCTTTGTACGTCTTCCATGCTTCCGAACAGACAAAGAATATCGTCGGCGTGCTCTAGGTTGCACAGCTTTTCTCCAGCTGCCCATTCAATACCAACATTTTGCGACCACTTAGTGCGTTTTCCAGTATTTCGTCATAGACAAAATTGAACAAAAATAGCGAAATAAGGCACCCTTGACGAACGGCTCATTCAGCTCGCCGTAGACACTTACGCTACCAGAAGTATGCAAGTAGAATGACCTCAGTATGTTCACATACTTCTGTGGCATTCCTTTGAGAAGGAGCGAACCCATAAGGGATTCGTGTTCAACTCGGTCGAAGGCTCGTTTGAGGTCAAGGAACACGATAACCGTTGACCGACGATGTATGTGGCGTAGATTTGGTCGATACAACCGTGACCTGGCCAAAATCCTGCTTGTTGTTCGCGGATATTAGTCTCCCTAGACTGTGTCATCCGCCGAAGTATGACGAAGGCCAGTAACTTGGTGACGATTAAGGTCAAACTTATTCCACCGTGGTTTGCGCAGTCGTTCCGAGAGCCCCTCGCAACAGTCGGAACGATCACGTTGCAGCGCATCATCATCATTATTAATCGTATGTCCGACGTGGTTCAGGTAGGATTTCTGATGGCTAAGGTGATAAATGTTTGGTAGAAAATGTGTCCACATGATTTGTGATTTTCTGATATAAATTAGAGGCTCCTCAAGTGGGTTCAAAAATGATGTCACTAAGCCGTAGATTCAGTGGGTGTGCAGGGTGTGTGGTTTAACTCAGCAGCCATTTGGTGCAAGCTGTCAACAAGAGATCGGAAATAACCGGTTGAAAGTGATCATAAAATGGATCAATGTCTGATAACAATGGTATGCAGTGTGTATATTAATGACGGCGATAACAGTAAAGTGGGTAAACTTTGAGTGAAATACGACAGTTATGCATTCCATGCCGTTTTGTGAATAATTGAAAAATGTATTTAGAGTATGAGGCTTGGATTAGGGGTTAGGGTTTAAAGTTTCAAACCGACTGATCGCGATTCGAGTCCTGACAGGGACACAAAAAGTACGCACTGCTGACGAGTCCCAAACAGAACGAAACAGCTGTCCAGTGCTCTTTGTTGGTTATCACAAAAATTTCCATCACACTTGAAGAATACTTCGTATTTGCCACACTACCTGGAATTGATGTAGGTGATTACTCTGTCTCCCAATTTTTTCCTATACTGTGGTCTATCCTGCTGGAGCAGACGAAATTATCCAGTCGGACCACGGAATTTTCCGCATCATCATTGAGGTATGACTCATGGGCACAAGTGGTGCAAAGTTCCGTTGGTTGGAGCAAATAGGTCTAATCCGGAAGCTTCCTAAATACAGAAGGGATTTAGGTACTCGTAATGATAGCTGCGGTCATCTCGCTGTTAGTAGTGCGATCGAGAGCAGTTTGCCAACCGCCACGAATTCGTTTAGAGTATTTGTGCGGTTGACTAGCGACTGGCACTCCGAACAAGGCAGTATGATTTTTCAACATAACATCCTTCGAACACAAAACTGCAAGCGAGCACGATGACGTGGAGACGAGGCATGAAGAAATGCGCATAGCCATTAGGTAGAGTAGGTGTCTCTCGCCCTCCAGGTTGGGGTCCGAAAGACTCCACAACTGGTTGGTTGGAGACATTGAAGGACATGACAGCGAACCGGTAGTGGCGTTCTTGTTGTCGTTTCTTATCAGGTCAGAATGCTTGAAACCGTATGTATGCAGAGTTCGATTGCGTACTCTGTGTATTCTGTTGACCATAGTGGCTCATCTTCTTCTCCCTCCCTCAAAATAGGTCCAATCCCTGCCCACCTTGAATTTTACCACCAACCTTGCATGCATTGCGAGTTTGGCAGCGGTCAGTGAAGTTCGCTTCACTTTATTTCGCTGTGCGATGATGATGACGATTATGGCGATCAATTGATGATGCAGGTGAGACCTGAATCCATGCTTCCGGAAAATCCTGGACAATTTGTGCGGAATTTTTCATCCATCCAACTGAACAATCTCCCAACTGAAGCATTGTCATTTGGTCTACGTTTCTGTGTTCCCCGGCAAGAGAAAAACCCAATAGAGTCGTGTGCGCAGTTCGAATTATTTTTCGACCAACTCAGACAATTAACCCCAAGCTCGCAGGAGTTGAGTAGGCAAAGTTGGTTGATCTTGAACAACAATACCGAATAGTGCCATTGAGACAACAGTCCGCTGTGACAAAACAGTACATTGAGGCCCTAAACAGTTTCAAATCAAATACAGAGTTGGTCGTAATTCCACCCGATAAAAGATCTGATACCGTGTTTATGGATATGACCAAATACGAGGAGAAAATGTGTTTATTACTATTTTACGAATCAAAGTTTGTGCCTGAAGAGAAGAGGCCACAGGATCCTCGCGAACGCAAAACTGAGATATCATCAGAGATACGGTTTTTACTGGAAGGAAATTTCATCAATGAAATCACCGCCAGAAAGCTCAAATCAATCGGTACTCAAACACCACAAATGTATGAGTTACCAAAAGTGCATAAACCTGGTATACCACTTCGATCAATAATGTTCATGCGAAATTCCAAACAACACAATATGGCCAAGTGGCTCGTTAAAATACTGGAGCCGGTAAAAAAGATCCACTGCAACGTACTCAGTGAAGGATAGTTTAGACCTTACGAAGGTTCTGGATGAGATAAACATAAATGACTATCATATGGCATCGTTTGATGTCATTTCTTTGTTCATCATTGTGTCTAGTGTGGAAAACANGAAACGAATCCAGTTGGGCATTCCCCTTTCTGTCCTGGAGCGCCTAATTATTCTGTGCACAACGGATGAACACTTCAGTTTTTGAGGTCGGTGATCTACACAAGTGGATAGCGTGGCTATGGGCAGCCCTTTGGGTCCTATTGTAGCTGACATATTCATGGCTAATCTGGAGAACAAAGCCAGTAGGACATTAAACGGCATTGTACTCTACAGAAGATACATCGATGATACGCTGATAGTCACCCGAACACCAGGGAGATCGAGCAGTTAGCTGAAATGAATTCCTTTCACGAAGACATTCAGTTCACTATGGAAACTGAGCAGAACAACAGACTACCATTTCTAGATATTGTTATTGGGCGAAGATTAGACGGAACTATCTCGAGATCCCTCCATAGATGTGTTTCGCGCACCTCTTAAACGGCTGCGCTACAATTTCTCGTCACCGTTGCGTTCTTGAATTTATCTACCCAAATTGCTAAATATGCGTGATTTAACCATATACACAAGGGAATTCATGTTAAAAATTGGGGATGTTGTTATGCCATGTTTGGAGTGCCAGTTGCCAGTCAAACGCACAAATACTGCAAACGCGGAAAACGCATTTGTGCCGATTGGCAGATCGCTCTTTGTCGTACTACTCCCAGTAAGATGACTGTGCCTACCATTGTGAGTAACAATGTCCGTTCTGTGTTTGGGGAGCTTCCGGATTTATCCTACCTGCTCCAGCGAAAGGAATTTCGCACCTCTTGTGTTTTATGTCTTCAGGAGTCATGACTCAATTGAGGATGTGGACGATTCCATGGTCCAACTGGATAATTTCTTCTACTTCAGACAGGATAGACATCAATGTAAGAAGAAGCTGGCAGGTGGTGTAATTACCTACATCAATTCCCGTTGGTGCGGCAGGTCCGAAGTACTTTTTAAGTATTCACAGAATGGCGTCGTTTGCTTGACTGTCGTCTGTCACTCCAAGTTCTCTCGCTTTCCGTTTATCGCCATCACGAATTTATACGTTGCACCCCAGTGTAGATTGTCAGACATTGACACATTTTATGATAATTTCCTACCGGTTATTGCCCCATCTCTTGTTGATAGCTTTCATCTAATAGTTGGTGACTTCAACCACGCCCCCTACACCCTTTATTGTATCTAAATCTCAATGGCCTGATTATTGAACTGACTAGAGGAAACTCTCATCTAGACCACATAATCACAAATGGTGCTGACACATCTTCTACCAAACAGTTCTCCCCCTTAGGCACCAGTGAT